TTATTTTTTTCATTAGATTCCACATATGAGTGAGATCATGTGATATTTGTCTTTCTCTGTCTGGCTTATTTCACTTAGCATAATACTCTCCAGTTCCATCTATACTGTTGCAAATGGTAAGAATTCTTTCTTTTTTATTCCATTGTGTAGATGTACCACAGTTGTTGTTTTTTATACATTCATCTGCTGATGGGCACTTAGGCTGTTTCCAACTCTTAACTATGGTGAATGTGCTGCTATGAACATAGGGGTGCATATATCTTTTTTATTGGTGTTTCTGATTTCTTGAGATATATTCCTAGAAGTAGGATTTTGGGTCAAATGGGAGCTTCATTTTTAATTTTTTGAGGAAACTCCTTATTGTTTTCCATAGTGGCTGCACCAGTCTGCATTCCCACCAACAATGCATGAGAGTTCCCTTTTCTCCACATCCTTATCAGCAAATCATTTATTGATTTGTTGATGATAGCCATTCTGTCAGGTGAAATGACATCTCATTGTCATTTCCTAGAGTCCAAATAGGATCAGGGGCAAGAGCACCTTCGGGCCTTGGCTACCGCTACTTACTGTATGAGTCGTACTATCTAATGTACCTCTCACCCTCCAGGCCCAAGGCCAGACGAAGCAAGTCTGGGATCCCTGCCCATCTGATTTTCCCACCTCTTCTCACCTCTATTTCCCATTATTCTGGAGCCAGAGGACAGGCTGCTGCCTGCACAAGTCTTCCTCTTTCCTAACTCCAATTCATAGCTATTTTATTTTATTTTATTTTATTTTATTTTATTTTATTTTATTATTTTATTTTATTTTATTTTATTTTATTTTATTTTATTTTATTTTATTTTATTTTATTTTATTTTATTTTATTTTATTTTATTTTATTTTATTTTATTTTATTTTATTTTATTTTTTCAGCCTGGAACTTGACTTTAAAAAAAAATTTTTTTTTTTATTGGTGTTGTACAGAGGGGAAGACAGAGGGATAGAGAGTTAGAAACATCAATCAGCTGTCTTCTGTACAACCCCCACTGGGGATGTGACTGCAACCAAGTACATGCCCTTGACCGGATTTGAACCCGGGACCCTTCAGTCCACAGGCCGACGCTCTATCTGCTGAGCCAAACCGGTTAGGGCTGGAACTTGACTTTTAATCATAAAATACAGGGGGGAGAGCAGAGGGAGTTCAGGGGGTGGGTGGTGAGCTGCCGCACCAGGGTCAGGGCTGGCTACACAAACTGCTGCTGCTGCTGCTGCTGCTTAGTGGCTGCCTTGCTGGCAAGGTCCTTGGCTTCTCTGTAGCTGCCAGTGCAGGCTTCTTTGGCTCAACAAGGGTTTTGAAAGGGACCTCACCTTGCCGCTTGGCCAAGATGTATTCAAAACCCTTCATTGACTTGTCACATTGTTTTTGAACCGGGCGAGACCAAATTCCTGAACAGCTCTGGAGAGATCAAATAAGCTACAGGAGGCCCAAGCTTCCAGGTGGATTCTGGTGCAGCCGCTGTTATCAGAGTGTGCACAGTAACACACTGTTTCTCCACCTCCGTCAGCCGGGCATGATTGGTGTTCCAGGTGAAGGGGGCATGGTCTGGTTCTGTGGGTCCACAGTAGAACCTTCCAGGATGTACACTGAGTGAGCAACATTGGCAGGAAATAGTGGCTCAGCCCCGCGGGGCATTGGTCTTGCTCAGGAGTCTCCAGGACAGGAGCTTCTGGTCAGGGTTCACCTCCTGGTGCATTGCCTTCTGTCAGGACACGTTTGCTACAGGGATTCGGTCCCAGGAACTCAGGAGCACTCTGTGGCTCAGGAAATACTTCACCATTGTCCCTGCCTAGTGGGGTCAGCACCCAAGCAGCATCAGGGGTGCAGAGCCCGGGCTGGAGTGGGGGGTGTGATGTCGAGGCCAGGCCGGGGCTCAGCACACACCCACCAGGCACCAGCTCAGTCACCGCCCCGCTGCCTCCATGAGGATTGTCTGGCCATAGCTATTTTCTCTACACGTTGAGAGTCTGTTTTACTAAAATAAGAACTAAAGGGATTTGGAAAAATCTCTCTCACATAAAATCTGCCTTTCAAGTCTATTGTTTTGCTGCAAAACCCCGTTTTGCATGTTAGAAGCTGAGAAGATGCCTTATTATTTATTTTTCTAATAAATAACTAATGGTAGTGTAATTCCAGGAAATGGGGGCCTTTGGCTGACAAAAGGAAATCATCTACATGGGAAGACAAAAGAGGGGTGAAGGCCTGGGAGGGGCGAGTGCTGGGTGGAAGGGGTCAATGGGGAAAACAACGAAGTGGACATTTGTAATACTTTCAACAATAAATATAAATTTTAAAAAGAAAGTACACTTATAATTTTCTAAAGAATGTAAAATTCCTTGTTGGAAGGATATGAGAATTATTAAAATCAGTATTTTTTTCAGTGACTTGTTCTTAGAGGAATTAGCACTAGGCCCTGTTCATTGCCTGTCCACGGCCATCATGGGTGGCATGCATGCTCCTGGGAAGGGCCTGTCCTGGTCGGCTCGCCCTGCCTCTGCAGAGTCCCCACCTGGCTGAAACTGACGTCAGATGACCTGAAGGAGCAGATCTACAAACTGGCCACGAAGGGCCTGACTCCCTCACAAATCAGTGTGATCCTCATGACTCACATTGTGTAACACAAGTGGGTTTTGTGACAGGCCCACAATAAAATCTTGAGAATAAAATCTTGAGAATTCAAAGGACTTGCTCATGATCTTTCTGAAGGTCTCTACCATTAAATTATGAAAGCTGTTGCTGTTCCAAAGGATATTAGAGCAACAGAAAGGATAAGGATGCTAAACTCTGATTCTGAGCTGTATTTACCGATTGGCTTCGTATTATAAAACCAAACGAGTCCTCCCCCAATTAGAAATAGGAGTCATCCACAGTCTTTGCCCTGGTTGCATAAAATGTCTATGTACTCAAGTAATAAAATCGATGTTTAACGAAAAGAAAAAAAAAAAAAAAGAAAAAAGAATTAACTTTAGGAGTATTGACCTAAGTCCATTCTGTTTTCCTTGCCTTTAATCTGTCATCTTTTTGCTGTGTATGTGTGTTTATATGTTTATGTGCATGTATATGTGTTGTTACTTTTAGTAACACTTTTTAGTCTCACTTTTAAAAATGAGTGGGTAACCGCCCTGGCAGGTGTGGCTCAGTTGGTTGAGCCTGGATCCATGCACCAAAAGGTCACCAGTTCAATTCCCATTCAGGGCACATGCCCAGTTGTAGGCTCATAGGCTCGATCTCCAGTTCATCAGTAGGGGCATGAAGGAGGCAACGGATCAATGTTTCTCTCTCACATCAATGTTTCTCTCTCCCTCTCCTTTCTTCTCTCACTATTAATATATATATTTGTATTTTGTGGGGATATTCCTATAAGGGGAAATACCTTGAACTTTCTTACAAAAGAGAAAGCTCCTTTGTGCTTTTTCTCTCATTGTCTTCCCAGAAGTTGAGGGAAGAAGGGTCAGGGGTATTTATTGAGTCTTGGATGCACCAGGATCTGTTCCTCAGGTGTAATTCCTGCAACACCCTCTCAGATAGCCAGCTCTATTTGCCAATGTGGAACTTTCCCCTTTAGTTGTTTTTATTTATTTATGTTAATAAATCATTTTCAGGGGAGGGTAAGATCTATTCTTTCCCATCCTCCAACACACAGTCATATTAAGTAATTAATATTAATAATTAAGTAAGTCATATTAATAATTGTCACCTGCTCCCCTATCAAGAAGAGAAACTCTCATTTCACAGTCTTTGTTAAACTTACCTCCAACCCCCAAGGAGGATTACCGGGATCACTGACTTGGCAATAGATTTGAGTTACTTTTTTATTTATTTATTTTTTTGAGAGAGAAGTGGGGGGAAGAGGGAGACAGAGAGAAAAACATCAATTTGTTGTTCCACTTACTTATGCATTCATTAGTTGCTCCTTGTATGTGCCGTGACTGGGGGATCAACCCAAAACCTTGGAGTATCAGAATGACACTCCAATCAAGCTGTTTAGCCAGGACAAACTTTGCCCTTTTTCTTTTTCTTCTTTTTTGTTAATCCTTACCTGAGGATATTTTTTCTATTACTTTTCAGAGAAAGTGAAGGGAAGGAGGATGGGAGGGAGATAGAGAGGAGAAAAAGAGAAAGAGAAAGAGATTGAGAGAAACATTGATGTGAGAGAGACACATCAACTGGTTGCCTCCTACACATGCCCCATTGGGGGAGAAGGCGCAAACCCACAACCCAGGTACATGCCCTTGCCCAGGAATCGATTCCTCAACCCTGGTATCTAGTGGGTAGAGGACATTTTTCCCATTGCTCTTTAGAGAGCAACTGCAGCATCCTACAGTGCACAGGACAGCCCCACAACCAAGAATTACCCAATCCAAAATGCCAATAGTGCAGAGATGGATAAACCTTGCTTTAAATGATAAAGAAATAATAGATGTGAAACTGCTATTTCAATTGTTTTACAAATAGATTTCCTGCAATGTTGGCCAATAGGAGGCTCTCAGCTCACATTTTTTATTTTTTTTTATTTTTATTTTTTGGAGGCCGTCAGTTTGAGGCATCAAAGCAGCAGCTCCAGCGTGAGGGGCACGGTGGGGGCACAGCTGGACGTGGGGGTGGGAGCCCATTCCTGGGCCCGTGGCTGCTGGAGTGAATGGGGTGTGGCCCCCGAGGCCTCACAGACCCCTAGGCATACAGCTGGGCGCCCACACCCAACACCCCCTTCCGGGGGCGGCCTGGCCTCCCGGTGGGTCCCGGTGACCCGGGGACAGGTGCTGACCCCCCAGGGCCGGGGACCTCCGAGCTCACATCACGGACCTGGAGTGAGGGCAGCGGCCGCGGGGGCAGGGGTAGGTGCGGGGACCGAGGCCCAGGGGACCGGGGGCCGAGGTGGGGGTGTCACGCAGTGTGAGTGAGGGGAGGGGCGGGGCAGGGCTTTCCTTCCTGAGCGGCGGGGCCGGGGCCCGGGCCGGGGTCAGGGGTCAGGGGTCAGGGGCCGGGCCAGCAGGCTGAGCAGCAGCCGGAGGCCCAGCAGGGCGGGGCTGGCCCGCAGCCCGCGGCGCTGCTGAAGTTGCACAGGAAGCTCTGGCAGCGGTGCCAGGCGGCGCGGGCAGATGGGGGAGCGGCCCTTGTGCAGGCTGTAGCCGAAGTCCGCCACGTTCCCGATGCCGGCGGCCGCGTGCACGGTCACGCAGTAGTTGTCGGTGTCCTCGCACACGGTGGGCCTCAGGCAGTAGGAGTTGCCCTGCTGGTTGGTGCATGAGAAGCGCACCAGCGAGTGGGCCTGCTCCGCGCCCAGGAGGGCGGCCAGCAGCACGGGCAGGAAGACCTTCATGCTGGGAGGACGGCTTTGGTCCTCCGCCCGGCCTCTCAGCTCACATTTGTTAGGTAGACCAGTGCATGTAAAAAATGCTTCAGCAAACATTGTGCTAAAGTGAAATGTCAGTCACAAAAGACTTCACTTAGCCCTGGCAGGCAGGGGTGCACAGTGGTTCGAGTATTGACCAGTGTATCCAAAGGCCTTGGGTTCAATTCCTGGTCAAGAGCAGGTACCTGGGTTGCAGGCTTAATCCCCTATGATCTCCTACTCTGGTTGGGGCCCATGTGGGAGGCAACCAGTTGATGTGTCTCTCTCACATTGATATTTCTCTCTCTCTCTCCCTCCCTCCCTCCCTCCCTTCCACTCTCTCTAAAGAGCAATGGGAAAAATGTCCTTGGGTAGGATAAAAAAAAAAAAAAAAAAAGCTTCACTTATTTGAGGTATCTACAGTAGTCAAACTCATAGAAAAGTAGACTGGTTACCAGGAATAGCATGGGTGCAGGAGGCGATGTGGGTGCTGTTCAGTGAGTATACAGTTTTAGTTATGCAAGGGGATATATGTGTAGTTAGTACTATACACTTGTACATTTAAAAATGGTTAGAATGTCAAATTTTATGTTATGTGCTTTTTACCACAATAAAATAAATGCTTTTGCAAGTCCTAATGCCAGTGATTAGGAGTAGGATTTGAACTCTGCCAAGTTTCAGATTTCAGTGGTAAGGACTAGAAAAGGATTCTGTGTCAAATTTTCCTGTGGCAGTGTGTGCACCTGAGTAAAAGCTATTCTTCCATTCTAGCTAATTTTACAAAATGCAAGAATATGTCAAATATGGAAGGCCAGGGGCAGGGGTGATGGCAGGGAAAAGGGGTGAAGAGTCTGCAATAGGACCCCATGCTAGAGGCATTGAGTACGTGCTTGGAAATTAGCTGATGTGTTGAATTAACTCTTGTTTTCGTGAGAAATAACCTATTGTAGAAAATAACTAAGAATTTAGAGAACATTCATAGAAATCAGTGTTATTAGAATTGGGTGCCTTTAACAGGGGTCTGAATATACCTGTTGACTTTGGCCACAAAGGTTCGAAAACCATGTTTGTTTTACTTTGGATCTATTTACCTAATTTTGATAAGGCTAACCCAAATTAGTGTTATCATGCTGTGCTTCAAAATGCAAATATTTTACTAGCCTCTTTTAAAAGCACAAATATTGTCTTTAGCTTAGGTTTCTGAGGATAGAAACTGATTAGAGGAACAAATCTCACGAAGTTAGGATAATCTCAGCCTTTGTTTAATTTGTCCTTCAGTTGACTAGTGAGGTGGGCCTAGCGAAGGGCTTGTAAGTTTTTGTTTCCTGAAGTCCTTTCTTCAGACGAAGGTAGGAAAGCTTTTGGGGATCAGCTTATCGCACTGCGCCAGCGGGGCCAAGTCTGGTGCCTGATAGCTGTGTGACTGTAGGCAAGGCACTTTCCATTGCGCTTTCTTCTGTAAAATGACAGCATGGGTGGGACAGGATGACCTTTCAGCTCTTTCCAGTTCTATTTGTGGACTATTCTCTTATATAGCCATTTGATTTTCCTTAGAAAAATAGTGAGATTTTAAAATTTGATAGATACTCAATCAAAGTACATGAAATGCATTAAAATTAAACTGTAATTTTCATGTGAGTTTTGCCTAGGATATTGGGAAATTTTTTATTTTGAAGACTTCTCTAATTCTGAAACGAATAATGTAAGTGATGGTTCATTACAGCCTTCGCGTCCTCTCCTGGTGGCCCTCCACGCGGCACCTTCCAAAGGATCTGCAACAGCACCCATACGCCAGCCCTTGCTTGCTTTTCTTATATCTAATCTAACTTGTACTTGCCCCATTTCCCCCCCCAGAAACTCTACTGAGTGTTACTGACTGCTAATGGCTTAATAAGACACTGTTATCTTTCTTGAATAACTCAAACAATTACCTCCTTATGAGACTTGTTTAATGTCATTGTGGAAACCTTGGCTGGTGGTGGGTTGAGACCTTGAAAGACGTGACTTTTCCAGTGCCCCTCATATGCCCTGTTGAGCCCTCCTATGTCTTCGAATACTTGTTTTCCCCTTAAAGTTGTTCCCAGTCTAGTGGGAAATAAAATAATGTAATTCAAAAAAATTCTCCCTTCTTCTCATCCACAAGATTTCAACCAGGAAAGATATGTCAAGCTACACCGTATACGGCCACTATGTGGCAGCACCACATCTTGCCACAGTGAAATCAGACAAAATGCAGTGCTGAATTTCCAATTCATTAATTACATGCAGGGAAATTCAAAAGTGACCGTGTGCAGGAAACAATAACTAACATTGGCTCTGGCCACGTGGCTCAGTTGGTCATCCCGATGCATCAAGGTTGTGGGTTCGATCTCTAGCCAAGGGGCATACAGCAAGCAACCAACAAATGCATACATAAATGGGAAGAACAACAAATTTGTCTCCCACTTTCTTTCTTTTCCCTCTCTCTCTAAAAATCAGTCAATATTTTGTTTTAATAATAGCTAGCATTTATATTGATATTATCTTTATTTTACAGACAATGAAACTGAAACAGAAGGATAGAGCAACTTGGCCAAGGTCACACAGCTAGGAACTAGCAGAACCAGGAACCAAACCCATGCAAGTATCTCTTTAAAGCCCATGCCATGCTACTAAATATGATGTCACTTATGATAAAAACCTAGAAAATAAAGGGAAATTGTAAAATTATGCCAAGGTCAAAACATCCATTTTTAAAAAATATATTTTATTGATTTTGTACAGAGAAGAAGAGAGAGAGAGATAGAGTTAGAAACATCGATGAGAGAAGAGTCATTGATCATCTGCCTCTTGCACACCCCCTACTGGGGATATGCCCGCAACCAAGGTACATGCCCTTGTCCGGAATCGAACCGGGACTTTTCAGTTCCCAAGCCGACCCTCTATTCATTGAGCCAAACTGGTTTCGGCAAAAACAGTCATCTCGATATAGCAAAAACATATGGTTAGCCGAGGCATCAATAATTAGAGCAAAGCTCTTCTGTCAAGGGTCAGGTGGTAAATATTTTAGGGTTTGGTGGCCAGATGGTTTCTGTTGCAACTAGCAACTCTGCCCTTGCAATGTGAGAGCAGCCACAGATAATTCGTAAACAGATGAGTGTGACTGCATTTCAAGAACACTATATTTATGAACACTGAATTTGAATTTCATGTAATTTTTACATGTCACAAAATATTTTTCTTCTTTGGATATTTCCCCCCCAGCCATTTGGTAGTACAAAAACCTTGGGCAGCTGAATTGGTTATCTATACCCACTTCCCCACTCCCTACCATAGTATTGCTGACCCTGGTATAGAGGGAGGAAGAGGAACTGGAGTTATCCAATGGTGATTGTTTAGCCTTAGCTAGGTGATCAGTAGACAGATGAGCTAATGATGAATGAAGCAAGCAAACAAGCCATTACAAGAGTATGAGGTCCTATTAGGGTAAGTGGGAGGTCTCCTAACCTAGACTTGGGAGGGAAGGGAAGGGATTCCAGGAAAGCAGTGCCACGTGGGGACTTGATGGATCTGGATGGGAGAAAGTCATCAAGAAAAGGTGTAGACAGGATATTCCAGATAAAAGGCCTGAGAAATCAGAAGAGTTAGGTTCCAGTCCTGATGCTACCTTTAACTCATTATTGGCTCTCAGGCAAGTCAGCCTACATAAGGACTTCAATTTCATGTACAAAATGTATATGTAATGTCAATTCTTATCTCACAAGCTATTGGTGACACAACAGAGAAAAGAGTGAGATAACATATTAGTTATAGTTCATTTTCAGTGTTCCCCATTTGTAAATTGAATGAGTTGGTCTAAATAATCTGCAAGATTCCTTCCAGCTATGAAGGTCTATGAATTTTTATTTTTTAGGTAAAGAGAAACTACTATTGAACAATTCTGGGTGCTGTACTTGTCAATGGTGACCTGCCTTGTGACAACTGAGAGTGCCCAAAGTGGAAGAAATATTCTGAGTGGCCAGATTATTATGATCTCTGAATGCATAATAATCTGGCCACTCAGTGTATATCCTATATAATAGAGGCTAATATGCAATTTGTTCCCTCAACCAGAAGTTCGACCAGCAGACTACCCAACCGCCCATGTCCCCTCTCCCTGGCTAAGCTGGCTGGACCCCACCCATGCACAAATTCATGCACCGGGCTATACACACACACACACTCTCTCTCTCTCTCTCTCTCTCTCTCTCTCTCTCTCTCTCTCTCTCTCTTCTCTCTCTCTCTCTCTCTCTCTCTCTCTGAGTGGCCAGATTATTATGCGTTCAGCAATCATAATAATCTGGCCACTCAGTGTATATTATTCTTTGTATTCAAAGATGACATCAGTGATTATTTCTGGGGAAAGGGGCTGCAAGACAGACACACACTGTATCCCCACTTCACATGGGAAGAGTACCCTTAATTGAGCTGTCCTCTGGCTCAAACTCTAATAAACTCACAAAATTTTTCTACAGATTTGGACGGTCTTACCTTGACACTCTGTTAAAAGATTGGGCTCCTTTTAATCTTTCCAGCAGTAAGCAATTTTAAGAATTGTTGATTTGCTGCTCTTTCAGCTTCTCTTAGCTCTACCCACAAAAAAACGTAAACTCTATTGAATTTTATAAGTTGCTTCAAACCATTTATGGGAAAGAGGAACCTGAATAAGTATGTGGAAGAGAAATACACTTCCTCTGCACTCATGGTCCTTTTGACTTATTAATCAAATTGATATGAGACAGATTAGTAAGAGAAAATAACCAAATTTTATACATATATATGGATGGGAACCCCACATATCTGAGAGAGTCAGAGACGGACATGCATGAAAGGTTCAGGGAAGAAAGGGAACATGGGTATGTAACAAATCCTGAGCTAAAGATGAGGTGAGGTACTCTGGGGGGTTCAAAAGGTCATTGAAGAATGATAAGGAAAACAGGCATTTAGTAAATAAAGGTTTGTCCCGCCAT